ACACGTTGTTTATAACAGATGAAAATAAATTTAGAAGGATGGGATTCAAGTTCTGCTGAAAATCTGGAGCAGGACCTTAGGCAAGTCACAAAACAGAAACATAAAGAATAACATCTCATGCGCACTTAACAATGTACAAGGTCCTGCGTTAACTGCTTTGCATGCATAATCTCATTCTGTCCTCACCATGCTACTGTTGGTGGGTACTGTGATGAGGAAATTGAGGCTCAGAGGGGTTAGAACTTGCCTGAGGTGAAGTGACTAAGACCAAAGCAGAATTTGCAGCTGGGTCATCACTGTGGCAGCCACACTCTAACCACTCACCATCTCTGTGATGTCATCTCCTCTTGAGTCTGTTGTCTCAGAAGTAAAGTGGAGGGTGGGCTTCTTTCTTTGGAAGGTGGCTTCTGGTTTTAACATTATAAGACCTTCCAATGGCCACAAGATTGGGTGCCTAAATTCCAGCTGAGACTCACTGTTTAGACCACTGCATTATTTCCTCATTGAGTCCATCAGAACGCGGGAGATCCCAGCAGTGGATCCTTAAGTCATTTAATTTAAAAAAAAAAGAACATGGGAGATATATTCTCACGGCTGTCACATTCTCATAGGTACACTTTGTTGTTTCATGAGCTGGGTGTTGATTGCACTCTTATGTTTAGGCAGTGAACTTTTAGAGTGAACAGCCATTTGAGGCAGGATGCAAATACCCTTTTGATTAAATTAATGTAACTTTTGCAGGCTGGGCATGGTGGCTCACGTCTGTAATCTAAGCACTTTGGGAGGCCGAGGTGAGCAGATTACTTGAGGCCAGGAGTTCCAGACCAGCCTGGCCAACGTCGTGAAACCCGGTCTCTACTAAAAAGACAAAGAAATAGCCAGGTGCAATGGCGCACACCTGTAGTCCCAGCTGCTCAGGAGGCTGAGGCATCAAAAACGCTTGAGCCTGGGAGGTGGAGGTTGCAGTGAGTTGAGACTGTGCCACTGCACTCCAGCCTGGGCAACAGAGCGAGACTCTGTCTCAAAATATATATAACTTTTGCAAAGTGAAATGAATCCACCATAAGAATACGCCATGCTAATAACTCAGTCATTACTTTTTTTCTGAATTATTAATGAGTTGAACTTTATCATTACAGGCATGAGCCACCGCACCTGGCCCACATTTTCTTGACAATAAAGTGAGCCACTTAATTCAAGAACAAACAGTATTTGTTGCCAATGAAAAACTGAGCTCTCAAGCAAAAATTAGAATTTTGGAAAACTTGTATCTGCCATCGTGAGCTGACAACTTCCTGCCCATGCGGCAAATGAAGACACTCACCCTAGGTCACCTGGCTCAGATGTGGACCCACATCTGACTTAAAACCTGTTTTCTTTCCACGATGTCAGTGGTTCTCCAAGTGTGGTCTATGGACTCCTCCCCTCAAGACCCTTTTAGGAATCTGCAAGGTCAAAGCTACTATGATTATGTTGTCTTTTCACAGCATTGATGTTTGCTCTGATGGTGCAAAACCAATATGGAATGAACCGCTGCACTTCAGCACAAATCTGCTAGCCAGTGGCATCACTGGGCCACGCACTCATAGTAAGGGGCAAAGCCAGCTGTGCTTAATATCCTTGATAGAATAACAATTATTAACATTATTAAGTCTTGACCCTTAGAGACACAGCTTCTTAATACATAAAGCACTTCTGCATTCCATAATACAATGGTTGTCTCAAGGAAAAGCACTTACGCAATTATTTGAATTGTAAGCTGAACTAGCCACATTTTCCATGAAAGCACTATTTTTACTTGAAATAATCACTGACAGAAAACTTGTGGTCATTCAGACTTGGGGACTGGTATACATTTTCTTTTTTGAGATGGAGTCTCGCTCTGTCGCCCAGGCTGGAGTGCAGTGACACGATCTCCACTTACTGCAACCTCCACCTCCTGGGTTCAGGCAGTTCTCCCTGCCTCAGCCTCCTGAGTAGGTGGGATCACAGGCATGTGCCATCACGCCCAGCTAATTTTTGCATTTTTTAGTAGAGATGGGGTTTGCTATGTTGGCCAGGCTGGTCTTGAACTCCTCATCTCAGGTGATCCGCCTGCCTTGGCCTCCCAAAGTGCTGGGATTACAGGCATGAGCCACCGCACCTGGCCCACATTTTCTTGACAATAAAGTGAGCCACTTAATTCAAGAACAAACAGTATTTGTTGCCAATGAAAAACTGAGCTCTCAAGCAAAAATTAGAATTTTGGAAAACTTGTATCTGCCATCGTGAGCTGACAACTTCCTGATACTTAAGACTTTCTTGATAAGATCACATATTTAGCAATATTAACAAATGCAATTTTAAAATATCACTTAATTAAATGTGTCAACATTTGGAAGATGACAGGTTTCCAGCAAGTTCTGCTGGTGCAGTATCATGGTGACTCCTCATGTCCTTCAGTGAGGTAGAGCCATGCCTTCCCAAAGGAGCCTGCTCACAGCCTGAGGGTGGAGTCTAGGGGCTCTTCCTTGGGTGTGTCTATTTCTCAGTGGGAAATGTGAGGCAGGGGCCTGACTGCTACTTACACTTGAGGCCAGGACACAGCCCTTACTAGCCAGTTCCTCATCACTCTGATCCCGGTGAGAATCAGGAATTCTTTATATTAAACTTTTCCTGTTTGGATTACTATGTGGTTTCTCCCTCCTGATTAGACCTACACTGATATAGCAGGTCTTGCAAACAAGAGCTGTGAACAGTCAAGTGGGGAGAAAAACAAATCAGTGCATTCATTACAATGAAGGCAAGGGCACAAAGGAGAGGCACATGTTCCTGCCTGTCTTGGTTTGTGAACTGCAAAAGGTTGTCAAGTTGACACTAGGGGATGAAGGCTTACGGAAAAAGTTTGCAACAGCTGCTTTTAAATATAAAGAAGTTGAAAATTAGAACCAAACAGTATCCATGTGTTGAGTGGGCTAGTTCTTTTGTCTGTGAAAAAGAGTTTTTGTGATGTCATCCCTTCAGAACAGTTGAAGGAGCAGAAAGACCCAACAAATCCAGGTTTGGAAGTAGCTAAAAAGAAAAGTTAACAGGTAATTAAGTTATCACCGCAGTGCCCAGACAGGAGGACAGCAAAGAAGAGACCAACTGTATCAGTGATATGGTTGGAGTTGGAGAGCTTAAGCACTTCAGGAAAACAGAAAAATGGTGGCCGAGCGCGGTGGCCCATGCCTATAATCTCAGCACTTTGAGAGGCCAAGGTGGGTGGATCACCTGAGGTCAGGAGTTTGAGACCAGCCTGGCCAACACGGTGAAACCCTGTCTCTACTAAAAATACAAAACTTAGCCAGGCGGGGTTGTGTGCACCCGTAGTCCCAGCTACTCGGGAGGCTGAGGCAGGAGAATCGCTGGAACCCAGGAGGCAGAGGTTGCAGTGAGCGAGACTGAGCCATTGCACGTCAGCCTGGGCAACAGAGCAAGACTCCGTCTCAAAAAAAAAAAAGGGAAAAATCACCCAATGGGACACTGGGCTGATGAAGTCAGCGTCAGTCTTTTTATGCAGAGTTAAAGCAGCTTAGAACTTAACATTGCATAGACAATCTGAAGATGAACAAAACTGAGTCATGGGGTCAGAAAGGTAGTAAGTCAGAGGTTCATGCTCCCAAAGATAATGGCAGCACAGTGGGAAATGTGAGGCAGGGGCCTGACTGCTACTTACACTTGAGGCCAGGACACAGCCACTTGAGCGACAGCCCAAAGCATCCTGGGGAAAGAGAACACTGCTCTGAAGTTACATTACGCTCTCCCTCGGTTAGTTGGTCTTTGGCAAATAATCATCCTATAATAAAAAGAGCTGGTGTTTGAGTGCTTCCTCTTTTCCTCATCTAGGAGAGTGCTCTGGACCACTAGTTCAGAAACAATGAGGCAGAGATTGAGTCCTTGGCAAGCACTTCTTGCTCAGCATCTTCATTTTCACCTCCCCTTTTCTCTCTCACTCCTGGGTAAATGACATTGTTTAGAGTTTCCAAGTTTGAGTACATGACAATTGTATCCCTGACTTCAAGCAATAAGAAATACATTTACACTTTACAGGGTGATCCAGTACAGACATGGCTCTATGTCATGAAACAAAAGTTTCATAAAGCAGGCTTAGGCTGGGCGTGGTGGCTCACGCCTATAATCCCAGCACTTTGGGAGGCTGAGGTGAGTGGATCACCTGAGGTCAGGAGTTTGAGATCAGCCTGGCCAACATGGCAAAACCCTGTCTCTACTAAAAATACAAAAATCAGCCAGGCGTGGTGGCGGATGCCTGCAATCCCTGCTACTGGAGAGGCTGAGGCAGGAGAATCGCTTGAACCTGGAAGGCAGAGGTTGCAGTGAGCCGAAATAGATCATGCCACCGCACTGCAGCCTGGGCAAAAGAGTGAGACTTGGTCTCCAAAAAAAAAAAAAAAGCATCGCTGGATGTGACACACTTTTTGTTTTTCTATTCTATTGTATTTTATTTTTCAAAATGCTGGCCATGGCCCCCTAAATTGACTTCATAATCCTTCTAGGGGACTCTATTCATAGTCTGACAAACACAACAAAGGAAAAAGGTGACTCATAAACTGATTATAATCTGATGAAAACACACCCTGAGGTCAACATTTTCCTTTGGTCAATGTTTACTATCTATCTTAATTTGTTTTCCAACCCTGGAAGGCAAGTGTGCTACAGAGAATCCCAGTGCCAAGATCCCACCATTCACATTACTCTCATCCTTTCGGGAGTAATACTTCTCATTACAAATCAATAAATGCACATTTTGAAACACATTCATGACATACAAAGTAAAACTGGCCAGCATCTCCACTGGTGCAGTGGCTCCCAGATCAGACAAACTCCACTGGACCAAACTCTGCAACATCAGACTCATCAGTCAAAGCAAACCTTCTTGTTACAGAAAATTGTAATCTCTCACATTATTGTAAAATAAGACAACAATTTGCAATACTCAACATGATGACTCGGTAGAGGTGTTTAGTTCAATATGATTTTATTTAAAAATGTGTACAGCTGAAGGAGGGATCTGACCTTTTGTTAAATGAAACCAATTTTCACAGTATATATTTGGCCATTTTAGCTTTGTAGTGAATAATAACAGAAAAGGAAGTTTCTGTTTAAGATCCTCACTCCAGCACACTCAGCCAGGCGCCTGGCAAGATGACACATTTCCTGGTCTGAAGCTCACAGCCAATCCTCTCACCCAAGTGGAACACCAATTCTCCTCCAGGCATACACACACACACATACATCTTATTTTCACTGCTCTACACAGGGCCCTGAGAATCCTTAATTTTAAAGTTGGGAAAAACATGAAAGGATTCCTTAACTCATTGTCTGCGACAAATCCAACTACCTTTTAACTCTTAACAATTGCAAGTATAAAATACTTGAAATTTACGAGATGCTCCATTTAATGGAACAACTCAAATGCTAAAAAATTAGATCAAGTAACATGCTTTAATATTTTTAAGTGTTACTTAAAACTTATTGAGACAAGATACGCAGCACATTCTTGGTATTATAAACTCCTACCGACGACTGCTACTTGATGGCCAAAAATATTTAAAAGAGAAGAAACCATACTGGTATACAACAATGTCTGCAAGGAATGTCATGTTTTACATTTTGTTAGCTGAAATTAAACCTGACAAAAAAAACCAAAGATCTACAAAACCAACACCCATGTCATTTTAAATGATGAGGTAGATTGTTTCCTATGCAGTAAAGTGAAGATAAAAATCCATACAACTTCCAAATCCTCTTTAAAAAAAAAAAAAAAAGGTTCAGGTTAGAGTCACTTTCACAAACAAGACATTCATAAACTCTAAGGTGGAGAGGTCATACTCAGGCAGGTTCTGTACTTGATGTGTTACTTGGAGATTCAATAATCAGTCTTGGGTCAATCAACTCTCTCCAAAATACAGTGATCTGAGGAAAAAGACAAAATCCCCAGTTTAGGCACTTTATTTTGAGGTCATACAGGTTTTAGTAAGTTAAAATTTTTAGCCAAGTAAATTTTCCATCAGTGTAGAATGATTGAAGAATGGGAATAATTTGGGTTCCAATAAATTGAGTTCATTTAGGGTATAGGCCAGGCGCTGTGGCTCACGCCTATAATCCCAGCACTTTGGAAGGCTGAGGGGGAGAAACGCTTGAGCCCAGGAGTTCAAGATCAGCCTGGGAAACCTAGTGAGACTCCATCTCTATTTTTTTTTAATTAAAAAAAAAAAAAAAAAAAAAGAGGCCAGGCATGGTGGCTCATGCCTATAATCCTAGCACTTTGGAAGGCCAAGGCAGGTGGATCATCTCAAGTCAATATGTCTCTGCAAAAATACAAAAATTAGCCAGGCGTGGTGACGCATGCCTGTAGTCCCAGCTACTCGGGAGGCTGAGGCAGGAGAATTGCTTGAACCCAGGAGGCAGAGGTTGCAGTGAGCGGAGATCACGCCACTGCACTCCAGCCTGGGTGACAGAGTGAAACTCTGTGCTGGGAAAATAAATAAATAAATAACTCATTTACTTAGAATGAAGCTAAATTTTACATTAAATATATTTCATCTTTCTTTGATTAAGAACAGGGGATGAGGGGTTGCGGGAGGGAGTAGCTCCCTCAACCCCTCCATTTGATTTGCCCTGTGGACAGGTGGCTTGGAGACCTTCTGGGAACTAGATGCGGTCCAGATGGGTATCACTAGGATGCTGATGCCCTTTCGCACTGCTCTGTAGTTCTTATCCTAACTTACCTAAAAACAGGAACTATTATAAACATACATGTGTAGCAAAGACTTGGAACCAACCCAAATGTCCATCAATGATGGACTAGATAAAGAAAATATGGCACATATACACCATGGAATACTATGCAGACATAAAAAAGGATGAGTCACATCCTTTGCAGGGACATTCTCAGCAAACTAACACAGGAACAGAAAACCAAACACCACATGTTCTCAGTCATAAGTGGGAGTTAAACAATGAGAACACACGAACACAGGGAGGGGAACATCACATACTGGGGCCTGTTGCGGGGTGGGGACATGGGGAGGGATAGCATTAGAAGAAATACCTAATGTAGATGATGGGTTGATGGGTGCAGCAAACCACCATGGCACATGTATACCTATGTAACAAACCTGCATGTTCTGCATATGTATCCCAGAACTTAAAGTATAACAACAATAAAAAAAGAAAAAAAAAGAAAAACAAAACAAAAATACGAACTATTTCACAGCCCACCAAGAGAAAGCAAATGCTAAGGCTTGGTCCTATGAATGAATAATGAGGGCCATCTAGTGTCAAAAACGGTAATTACAGGCTTTTTGCTTTTGAGACAGGGTCTCACCTCTACAGTCCAGGCTGGAATGCAGTGGCATTCAGGACTCACTACAGCTTCAACCTCCTGGGCTCAAGTGATCCTCCTGCCTTGCCCCCACCACCCCCAAAGGTGGCTGGGACTACAGGCATGTGTTACCACTCCCGGTTAATTTTTGTATTTTTTGTAGAGACGGGGTCTTGCCATGTTGCCCAGGTTGGTCTTGAACTCCTGGACTCAAGGGATCAGCCCGCCTCAGCCTCCCAAAGTGCTGTGATTACAGGCATGAACCAGGGTTCCCGGCCTAATTACAGGCTTTCTATTCTACTTCAGGCCTCTGTTTAGGGCATAGAGAGAAAAGCCTCCAAGGTTTAATTTTCCAATGCAGTTTCCAATTTCAACCAAAAAAAAAAAATACATATAAAAAATAAAGACGTACAGGAGACCAGGCCAAATCTGCTGATCCTACCACAAACACTAAAAACGTGTTTCTGGAATAAATCCCTAAAAGTGTCATCTACCTTAAAGACAAGGTAAAACATACAGTCTGGCTAAGGTTTCTACAAGTTCACACTTCAGAAAAAAATGTTTGCAATATTGAAATTTATAGAATAGTATCTATAACATTTCAAGTATAAACACCTTAAAAGAGAGCATTTTCTTAAATCTAACTTCTATTTAATGCCACCATAACCTAATGAGCTAGCCACCGCCAGCCACTCTGGTAGGTCTGGCTGCTTAAAAAGGTATAAACCATATACTTCCTAAAATGGCAATTTAAGGATTTAAAGTCAGAGGACGGGATCATCATTTTATGTCACTCTTCAAACTGTTGTGCTATTGTAAGTTGGAACTCTCAGGCCAGGCACGGTGGCTCACGCCTGTAATCCCAACACTTTGGGACGTCTAAGTGGGCAGATCACTTGAGGTCAGCAGTTCGAGACCAGCCTGGCCAACATGGTAAAACCCAGTCTCTACCAAAAATACGAAAATTAGCTGGGCGAGGTGGCAAGCGCCTGTAATTCCAGGCACTCCAGAGGCTGAGGCACGAGAACCACTTGAACCTGGGAGGCGGAGGTTGCAGTGAGCCAAGATCATGCCACTTCACTTCAGCCTGAGCCACACAGTGACACTCTCAAAAAAATAAAAGTTGGAACTGTGGTAACACTTGGGGGACAGTAGTGACTGCAAGGGGACATAATAGAGGGTTCTGGGAGTGGGTGTTATGTTCTATTTCCTGATCTGGGTCTGGTTACATGGGTATGTGCATGTGAAAATTGTTCCAGCCATGTAATTATATGCGCTTCTCTGAATGTATATGCCAATAAAGTTTCTAAATACGCTACCCTTTCCTGCTGGAATCCTTATATAGCTATAATTTTAAACAACTGTACACTCTTAAAGTTTGTTATTTGTGCATCTTGTCACACAGGCTCTATGAGGGCCAAGATGGAGCCCTGATTTGGCACTTAGCACTGGTATTGCCATACCATAGATTCCCTCCAGGGCCTGTAGTGCAATGTCACCTTCCAAACCACAGGTAATCGGTCAAGAGAGAACGTATGGCCAAGCAGTGCGAGAAGAGAAGCACACCTACCTTGCTCTCCTGTGTCACAGCGTACTCCACTACCTCGGTTCCATTTTCATTGTGATAAACCAAATCAAATTTCCCAGGTTCTCTCAAGGCTGAAACAAGAAGATAGGGAGGAAAGAGGGTAAGTTATTTCTCAATAGTTAAAAATGTTCCTCTACAGGGAATTTCTATCATTAAGATACCAGCCACAAACTGTCAATTAATGTGAAGGCTGGGTATGTACAGGAAAGCACGGGGTGCTCAATACAGGGGGATCCTGAGAAAAAGCCTGGACCAGGGGGACTTCTCAGCCATTTATCAGAGAAAACCTTTCCTTCATAAGCTTGATGAACTGTCATTAGTACTACCAGAATTGAATATGGCACCACAATATAATCCCCAAAATTAATTAATTTATGTGTTTCAACAAGGGAAGGTAATATGAAATGCTGCTCTGTCCTTAGAAATCACATATGCTTCCTACTACTTGATAACACAGGCAGTCCCTTTTTTTTTTTTTTTAAGACAGAGTCTTGCTTTATCGCCCAGGCTGTAGTGTAGTGGTGCAATCTCGGCTCACTACAACCTCTACCTCCTGGGTTCAAGTGATTCTTGTGCCTCAGCCTCCTGAGTAGCTGGGATTACAGGCATGGCATGCACCACTATGCCCAGCTAATTTTCGTATTTTTAGTTGAGACAGGGTTTCACCATGTTGGCCAGGTTGGTCTCAAACTCCTGGCCTCAAGTGATCTGCCCATCTCGGTCTCTCAAAGCGTTGGGATTACAGGCACGAGCCACCGTACCCGGCCTTAGTCCTTGCTTTCTATGGTAGAATGGGATTGGAAAAATGATTGTACAAGCTGAAACCACACAAAACAATCTTAATAATCAATAGGAAAAATTATTACTGTCTTAGGAGTTTTAAAAAATTTTGCCAAAACATTAAAAACCTTTACTACATAGGGAAACTAAAAATGAGTCAAGTAAAAACACTGAACTTATGAGTACACTGTAATTACATTAGGAACACTGAGAGCTAACTTTCTCTCTCTCTTTCTAGGCGTTTTATTTCTCTGTAAGAAACTTATCAAGGGAAGTTTGAACAGTGCTTGTGCTCTTGCCCTGTAACTTATGATACAGCCCAAGCACCTTCTCTGTGCTTTGTACAACTGTTGTACTCTTTTCTAAGTTTGAAACTGCTGTCTACATTTTATCCTCTGAACTTCTAATGTCATGAAATAGCTCAAAGAATTTGTTTTTTACTTTGTAAAATCTTTGTTTTTGCTGGTGTCACTTTGGGGACATTTTCATCCTTTTTGCCACGACCACTTTCCTTATTCAAGTCAACAAGTTCACCTCACTGGCAGTGTCAACATTCCCACAGTGAGCTCCTTCTTCTACAGACTCTCCTTAAACTCAGTTTGGATGGTACTTTCAGCATCACCACTTTTGTTTCTTTGCTGTGCCTTTATCTTTGTAGGCCTATTCCTTACTTCGATTATAAGTTTTGTAAAATGTCATGCAGTTTTATCAATGAGAGACAAGGAGGCACCACAACTGCATGCTCTGCTCTGTATGTGAACTGAATAACAGATGCACAGTGACCAGTCACTGAGACTCTGAAAGCACTGACTTGATGGGTCATGGATCATGACGCGTATCTGTTATTTACGTTATATAGTTACATGTGGACTAAAGAGCTACTGGCAGTCTTTATGCACTTACTCAGTTAACATACGCAGTGTTGCTGTGGGACTGGTATTACTTAACTAAACCATGGTAACTGAAATTTATGTATATCAGAACCACCACATCAAGGACAGCTGACATTGCTATTAGAGAACAGATAAATCCATTTCTTTCTTTCTTTTTTGCTTTTGAGACAGGGTCTTGCTCAATCACTCAGGCTAGAGTGCAGTGACGCAATCATGACTCACTGCAGCCCACAACTTCCTGGGCTCATATGATCCTCCCACCTCAGCCTGTTCAAGTTTAGTGGAAACAAGCATGCCACATCACACTTCAGCATGTCGTTTTTGTCTTTCTTTTTTTTAGAGACAAGAGTCGTCAACGTATGCGCAGGCTGGTCTTGAAACTCGCTGCTCAAAGTATCCTCCCACCTTGGCTGCCTCCAAAGCCATGGTCTGTGATGCCCTAAAGGAGCAAAAGACTTTTAAGTGACATTATCACTATAATCACTTGGCAAGCACTGATCAGGCTTTATGTTGGCAGAATTTGAAGGTGGGACAAACGTGTTTCGCACCATGCTTGTAAGAAACGATTGCTATAAATGAAACCTGCATGCAGAAGAAGGCGAGGAAACCTGCAGCTCATAATTTTATCACTATTTTTTATCACTAATAATATAAACATACAGTTTTGTATTGTATCAACACTTGATAAATATAAATCAGAAAAACGTGAACAACCATGATAGAAACAATACAATACTGATGTGTTAACAAAATTACGCGGTTTTGATTGATTTCGTCAACTGAATCTTTTTTATACTTTCAATTCTCCTTTATGTTAAAAAATAATACAGTAATGGTCAGGGTGTGGTCCGTTCCACGTCTTAATCTTAATGCCATCTGCACTATGTTGTGTTGAGGTCCAATGGATAATCAAGATTATTATAATTGGGATCTCTATCAGAAACAATATAATTAAACTCTTCTTGTTGTATTCAGGGAGCCACACTCGAGGAAACCAATCTCTACGGCAATATAAACAGCGTGTTGAAACTCTGTCTCCATAAACGTGTATCGAAAAAATTAACAGGCAGTTGGCAGCAGCGCTGCCAATAGAATAGTCCCAGCTACTCTGGGGATTGCTGAAGCAGGAAGTGATTGGTGTGAATCTGGGAGTGAAGCTTGGCATGTATGCGAGATCAAATATCAGATCAACTGACTTCCAGCTCTGATTTAAAATAAATTAGTGCTGAAACAGGAGCAAAAATATGAAATCCGTCTCATTAATAAAAATAAATTACAAACAAACTAATCATAACAATATCAGGTGATATTAAACAGGCTAGGCACTGTGTTCGGATCTAAACTTATAGTCCCAGCACTTTTAGGAGGCCCAAACGGCGAGTGGATTGTTTGAGGCCAAGAATTTCTGACGACCAGCCTGGTCAAAATGTCCAAAATCCTTATTCTCTCATAAAATAAATGCATGAGATTAATTTAGCTGGACATTGTGGGTGTGTGCCTGTAGTACCGCAACTACTGCTGTGCAGGAGATGATTGTGAATAATTAAAATATTTTAATCATTATTATTTTTGATAAATCTTATTCTGAGGCATGAGTATATACTTGCTTAGATCTCTGGGACTGTGTCATGAATGGTCTGTCAGGATAATCACAAGTAATGTGCTCTATCCTACTATACAACTCCACTCACCTCCTTGAAGCGACAGAGTTGCAGACTCTGTCAAAAAAAAAAACCAAAACATAAAATCTACACACTACCTACTAAATTCACATATGTCGTATCTCTATTCTACATCTCTAAACTTACAAGATGTATAAAAACAATTAATTGCTTTAGGATCTGCTAAAGGAAAAGGCATCTCCCCTGTCCTCTGGCCAGGGACCCCCTATAGTACACTCCAAGTTAAGCTACATATTATAAAAGCGCTCTTATTCCAGGCATTCAGTTCCAGTAACAGGTGGGTTAATCAGAGATAAAGCCAGTAACTATTTAAAATGATATGTGAAAGTGTATGTATACACACAGTTTAGACATTCTGTTTTGACTTAATATACAAAAGTATATTCATTTGACAATCTTTTGAAATAGAGCTGAGTAGGTTTTATGAGTTCACTGAATAGAGCTCTTTCTTTTATAAACCATACCATTGTATTGTCTGCAATTTCCACAATTTACAGTTTTGGTGTTTTTTTTTATTTTTATTTTTTTGAGACTGAGTCTTGCTCTGTCACCCAGGCTGGAGTGCAGTGGTACGATCTCAGCTCACTGCAACCTCCACCTCCCGAATTCAAGCCATTCTCCTGCCTCAGCCTTTCCAGTAGGTGGGATTACAGGCACGTGCCATGACGCCTGGCTAATTTTTGTATTTTTAATAGAGACAGGGTTTCACCACATTGGCCAGGATGGTCTCAAACTCTTGACCTCAAGTGATCCATCACTTTCGGCTTCCCAAAGTGCAGGGATTACAGGCGTGAGCCACCATGCCCAACCTGGGCTTTTTTAAAATAATGCAAGATTGCAAAAATTTGCAAGACAATCTAAGTGCAGAATCTTCCTCAGTTTTTACAAAATTCCTCCCAATCTTTTATAGCTGACCCACCCATCCATAATTTCATAGCATTTATTGAGTCAGCATTCAACTTAGGCTTCCTAGGAATAATTATTTTTATAATCAATTTTCATCAGTTCATACAAACTTTAATGAAATTATATAATTACAGTAATAAGAACTAGCCCAACAGTTTTGGAATATATCCAACATCTCTTATGAATCCCCAGGGTTACAGTGTGCTGAAAGAAGTGGGGAGCGCCAGTTATATAGAGGCCACGGAACAGAACATCTCCTGTGTATCAAAGCTATTCATAAACCACTGTAGATAGAAAGAGCCTAAATTTTCAAATTCTTTTCTAAAAGACTCACCAGGTAAGGATGAAAGAATTTCTATATCTACTTGCTGGGTCTCTGGATTGTGGCTTAATATTCTTCCTTCCTTTCAAAAATAAAAGTCCAAGTCAAAATCAACATGTAAAACACTGTGAATATACTAAAAACCACTGAATTGTAGACTTTAAAATGGTTAAAATGTTGAATTTTATGTTATGTGAATTTTATCTCAGTTGAAAAATTTAAAAATAAATCCACATATAGAGAAAATAAAAACAAGTAGACTAATAAACCCTTTATGTGAATATACAGAAACATCTTTAGAGGCAAAATAGACACATTTAAATCATAAATGGCAGACACTACCTTAAATAACTCAATGAAAGTAAGATTACACCAGGGAACCAAAAGTGAGTGAATACGGGAAAAGGAGGAAAAATCACACCAGGTGGATATATTCAAGTGACCACTGACCATCACAGCATTCATCAGGAGAGACTAGATATATCCTAATGGTGCTGCCTCGGTTCCTGATGCTTTTAGAACCCTTCTAAAACAGTGATCACAACCCCTCAGGAGAAACTAGAAGGCACTTTATCACTGGTAAGATCCCAATTCCCCCTCTCCCAGGTCTTCAGGTGTGGGAGCTGATTTTCTAATGCATCAAGAGGATGCACTGCCCATGCATGTGGGCGATGGGGAGACACATGGTAGCCTCTGGGGGTATATACTGAGAGGCCAAGCAACCAGTTCCTCCTGACTCTATCTGGAATTTCTGAGCACCGTCAACAGTGTTTTTTAGAACCAGACTCAACAGGGAATCAGGAGCTTGGGAGACTACATTTTTGAGTACAGAATTTAACTAATTTAATTTTTGGAGACAAGGTTAATGAAAAAAGCAGATGATCAAGCTGGATAACTGCGTTTGAGGTCAAAGCAAAAAAGTAGGACCAATTTTCATTCTTAAAATGATTGTGAAAGCAATTTCAAAAATCTTCAAAAAATTTTGTCAGCTAAAGTAGGCAAATCACCTTCCAACGTTAATAACTATGATGACTAACACCAATTTAATAGGCAATTTTTTTAAGAGTCTCATTTTGTCACCCAGGCTGGAGTACAGTGCAATGATCTCAGCTCACTGCAACCTCCACCTACTGGGTTCAAGTGATTCTTGTGCCTCAGTCTCCTCAGTAGCTGGGGCTACAGGTGCATGCCACCACGCCAGGCTAATTTTTGTATTTTTAGTAGAGATGGGGTCTTGCCATGTTAGCCAGGCTGGTCTCGAACTCCTGACCTCAAGTGATTCGCCTACCTTGGCCTCCCAAAGTGCTGGGATTACAGGCGCAAGCCACTGCACCTGGCCGTTAATATGCAATTTTTAAAAATCAGTATCATCTAGAATTACAGTTCACAGAGGTTGTGGGATCTATCAATACAATATTCATTTCCATTTCCTCATATATCACACAATTAAATTAGTTATCTATGGTAGGGTGACAAAACACCCTGGTTTGTTCAAGACAGGTCTGTTCATCTTTCCAGCATAACTATTAATAGCACTCCCCTTCACTCACAAGTATCCTGATTTAGGTGATAAATTACATGATCACCTCATCCACAGGAGATAGTAAGAGCCTAAGAAGATAAAAACAAAACACCAATGACCTAGAACTAACCCACCAGATCCCTTCATTAACTGATTCTTCCAGCCTGCTTTCGAGGAAAGGTTTTTTTTTCCTTTTTTTTTTTTCCAAGACAGAGTCTCGCTCTGTCATCCAGGCTGGAGTGCAGTGGCGTGATCTCAGCTCACTGCAAGCTCTGCCTCCCGGGGTCATGCCATTCTCCTGCTCTCAGCCTCCCGAGTGGCTGGGACTACAGGCGCCCGCCACCATGCCCCGCTAACTTTTTTTTGTGTGTGTGTATTTTTAGTACAGACAGGGTGTCACTGTGTTAGCCAGGATGGTCTCGATCTCCTGACCTTGTGATCTGCCCGCCCAGCCTCCCAAAGTGCTGGGATTACAGGCGTGAGCCAACACGCCCAGCCCTGAGGAAAGGTTTTTATAAAGATTTTAAAAGTCTTCCAAGGCATCAATCCAGATTAAATCAAATTCCCTTGTGTTTTATCTATGTTACTATATTAACATTACCAATTATTACCTTAAAAAATAGTCTTACATTCCATATCGTACATCAAAAAAAGAAAGGATGCACTTTAACAAGATTTTCAACAAATTTTGGTGGGTGAAAAAGAAATATGTAATTCTGTGATCCCACTGAGTTAAGCTTTTATTGAACTATGAAAAACCTCACATGCCAATATAAAGACTCATACAGATATTAAGTAAGTAAATTCCATGGATAATATTTATGAATTACCTGTAGTTAACTGATAATGCAAAAGAAATCATACTAGATCATAATAACCAGAAGTAATTCACAAATATGTAAAATAGATTCCCATGATGAAAATAATCAAATCTTCTTGCTGAGAACTGTTTATTATTTTCTTTCAAAGTTTAGAATCATGAGGGAATGAATACCCAAATAAGTTGGTGTGTCTAAACTAATTAGAAAACAGTAACTAAAAAAATTAAACTGGCTGGGCATGGTGGCTCACACCTGTAATCCCAACACTTTGGGAAGCCAAGATCGGGGGGACTGCTTGAGCCCAGGAGTTTGAGACCAACCTGGGCAACATAGAGAGATCCCGTCTTTATTTAAAAATAAAAAATTAATATTTTTTTTAAAAAGTAAAAATTAAGATCATTCTCCTACTCTATTCTTCCCAAATATAAGGCAAATAACACTGGGAGACTTCACAGTGATACTATTAAAAAGTTGACATTTCAATAATGTTTTCATTTTCTATTTTCTGGCATTTTTATTTAGTAAAAAAACAAATCTGTATTATCCATACAAGTAGTATGAAATATGACTTTAGTTTTATTAATATACTGACAACTTACTTTTAAATAAACATCCTTACCTTGTAGTCAGAGACATCAGGAGAGTAACTGGATGTTAGTTCCAAAAGCTAAAAAAGAAGAAAAAAACCCACAAATACATAAGCCCTCTTATCCTCTCACATTCCCACAGCTCCTCCATCATGCCATGCTGGGGTGTCCACCCCCACCAGTCTGGGAGCCCTACCAGGAACCCATGACAACACTGAGGTTCCAGTGGGAAGGGCTTTTACAAACACTTTAAACCTGATTTGTTAAGTAAGTTTATTTGGAAGGGGAATGAACCTTTTTTGCTGTGACCGTTGTTTTGAAATATACCTTAAATGCAATCTTTTCTCCAACTTGAGGGGCAGCTGCTAACAGTGGTAACAGACTATAGTCCTTCTTCTGTGTCTCTACTGGATTCTGAAAAACAGTGTTAGTCATGTGACATCATTACTGGTGAGAAAATGTGAACCCATGACATGAACTCCACACACATCCTAAGGGGAAAGGGAGGAGGTAACTTACAAAAAATAATACTTACCTGGATAATAGTAGATGAATTTGTTACCACGTCATTTAATTGCTGTTGCCTCTGGTTATCAGTGCTTCTATTTACAACACAGGAAACAGGATGCCCTCGTCCTCGACCTCTCCCCCGCATGCCCCGTCCCCTGGCTCCCTTCCAAGAAAAAAGGTTCTCTCCTCTACCCCATCCTCTTCCTAAACTAGCTGGGAGAGACACACTGGGAGAAGGACCAGGAGCCTGTCCGCCACCGTTTGAGCCAGAACGCCTCCATCCAGCAGCACCTGCACTCTGTGATGATGGCCCCGGGCCTGGACAACCTCTTCCTGCAAAAAGGCCTACTGTCTTTAAGAAACTCGCAGCACACTCCGGGGTGCTCGATGACATCAAGCATTGGTCATCTGACTCTGAACTAGAGTCTGAACTAGAAGATGTTGTTCCAGAGGTCTTGCCCTTGCTGGGGGTAAGGCTAAAGCCAGGTTTTGTAGCCAGTTTGTCTGCAGTTGTATTTTTGGTAGAGGGTCCTTCCTTTGATAACTCAGTTGGTAATTTCTCCGAGGAATTTCTGGCTTCCAAAGTGACTTTGCTGGGCCCATCACTGATAGATTCATCACAAGACTCAGACTCCGAGGAGGAACTAGGACTCTCTTTTGAGCAAACGCTTACACTACCTTTCCTTTTGGCTTTAACAAGGCTGTTTCTAGCAGAACCTTTTGGAGAACTACATCTCTGATTGGCCCAGTCTTTTACTGCCTGTACTTTAGGAGACTTGGGATTCTTGGTCTTTTTTTTATATTCACATTTCTCCTTTTTCTTTGGTGATTTTCTTTTGGTCTCTTCATTATCATCACCCACTGTGACACAGGTTGCTTTATTTTTTCTCTTGTTTTTTTTGCTGACAGTCTGATCTGTGACAGCTTTTGGTTCCAGATCCAAGACCTTCTCATTATTGTTATTGTTCTCTTGCCTCTTCCAATGCTTCTTTGAATATTTGTAATCTGGTTCAGTTTCTTCATCCTCCTCTAACTGAAATGCCCGCTTCTTTGCTTTTCTAAGAGATAAATTACTGTCACCATTACTGACGACTACAGAATTCTCAGCAACTCCTCTCTCTTCTAATTTAACTCTGTCAACAGAACAAGAGAGAAAACTAGAGTGAGCAATTTGTAAACACATCTCCAGGACATAGTTATATACTGAGATGACTCCACAAAATGTAACTACCATCAGTCAATGAAAAAATGTCATATCAATTAAAGACAAAAGACTCTTTCTGGCAAAATGGCCCATACAGCATTACTCACAGTCAACTTTCAAATGACTAGTTTTATTTATTGAATAGCTACTGCATCCCAAACATTTTTTATATGTTTTTCTCTAATCTAAACATCAACACGAAGTAGGTATTTTTAATTTTACAGATCGTAAAATTACAGCTCAGACAAGTTACTTGCCCCAAATCTAGAGCTGATAAGTAGCAGAAAGGCAATTCAAACTTCAGTTTGTCTAACTTCAAACTCACAATCTTTCTAACATATGCATGTCACCTACCCTAAAAGGTGATAATGCTGATTATCCATTTTGTTTCAGAATGTGGGCTGCTTTCTTTAACAATACTTTACTCTTGTTTTAATTTAGGTGAATACTAAACAATTTATGTTCTCTGGGGTATTGACAGCCATCTGTACAATTCCATGACACTCCGTGAAGCTTAATTTTATGTATCAATTTGTCTGGGCTATTAGGTGTCCAGATATCTGGTCAAAACGACACTGGCTCTTTCCACACCACCACAGTGGTGCACATGAATGTCCTGGCTGATGCTCTTAAGAGCATCAACAAAGCTGAAAAGCAAGGTAAATGCCAGGTTCTTATTAGCCCGAGCTCCAAAGTAATTGTCCAGTTTCTTTTTTTTATTTTAGTTTTTTAAATTTTTTTTTTTTTTTTTTTTTTTTTGAGACAGAGTCCCAACTCTGTCACCCAGGCCAAAGTGCACTGGTGCATTTCTCAGTTCACTACAACCTCTCCCTCCCAGGTTCAAGAGATTCTCATGCCTCAGCCTCCCAAATAGCTGGGATTACAGGTGCTCACCACTATGTCTCGCTAATTTTTGTATTTTTAGTAGAGATGGAGTTTTGCCATGTTGGCCGGGCTGATCTTGAACTCCTGGCCTCAAGTGCCCAAGTGATCCACCTGCCTTGGCCTCCCAAAGTGCTGAGATTACAGGCATAGGCCATCGCGCCCAGCCCCATCATCCAGTTTCCAACTATAATGATGAAGCATGGTTACACTGGCAAGTCTGAAATCACTGGTGATCACAGAGTTGGGAAAATTGCTGTGAAGGCAGGCTAAACAAGTATGGAGTAATCAGCCCCAGATTTGATGTGCAACTCAAAGATCTAGAAAAATGGCAGAATAATCTGCTCCCATCCCACCAGTTTGGTTTCACTGTACTGACAACCTTGGCTGGCATCACAGACCATGAAGAAGCAAGACAAAAACACACAGGAGGAAAAATCCTGAGATTCTTTTTATAAGGACGTAATACATATTTACAAATATATTGCCTCAGTGGGAAAAACAAATTATGCTGGGAGTATGTGCAAGGTTGTTTCTGGATGAGATTAACATTTAAATTGCTAGACTGAGTAAAGTACATTGCTGTCTCCAATGTGGGTGGGGCTCATCCAACCTGCTGAAGGCCTGAATAGAACAAAAAGACTGAGTAGTAAGGAAGAATTTGCTTCTCTGCCTGACTCTTCAAGCTGGGACATCGGTCTTCTCCTGCCTTCAGACTCGAACTTGAACTAGAAATATACCACTGGCTCTCCTTGATCTATAGCTTACCAACTAAACTTAGGACTTCTCAGCCTCCACAATCCTATAAGCCAATTCCTTACAATAAATCCCATGTCTGTGAGTGAGTGAGTGTGTGTGTGTGTGTGTGTGTGTTTCTTACTGGTTATGTTTCTCTGAATAACCCTACTTCATCCAAAATGCCACTACAGGAAAGCAACTTCATTCCTCTATCAACTGACAACAGTTAATCCTAGAATGTGCAGTCTGATAATGATGGAAGTCTTGAGAGTGTCCTCGATGTTAAGCAAATAGTAAGTACTCAACAATGCCTGTTGGCCAGGCACGGTGGTTCATGCCTGAAATCCCAAAACTTTGGGAGGCTAAGGTGGGAGGGTCGCTTGAGCCCAGGAGTTTAAGACCAGCCTGGGCCACATAGGGAGACCCTGCCTCTACAAAATACAAGCATTAGGCTGGGCGTGGTGGCTCACGCCTGTAATCCCAGCACTTTGGGAGGCTGAGGCGGGCAGATCACGAGGTCAGGAGTTCGAGACCATCCTGGTTAACACAGTGAAACCCCGACTCTACTAAAAATACAAAAAAATTAGCCGGGCATGGTGGAGGGCACCTGTAGTCCCAGCTACTCAGGAGGCTGAGACAGGAGAACGGCGTGAACCCGGGAGGCGGAGCTTGCAGTGAGTGAGCCGAGATCGTGCCACTGCACTCCAGCCTGGGCGACAGAGCAAGGTCGCAAACAAACAAACAAACGATAGGCAGGCATGGTTGGCACATGCCTGTGGTCCCAGCTACCTAGGGGGCTGAGGTGGGAGGATCACTAGGGCCCAGGAGGTCGAGGCTGCAGTGAGCTGTAATTGCACCAATGCTGAAAACACACATTATACTTACAAGGCATTTGCATCCAGCTATATATTTCATCAAGTTTTTTTAGTGACCAGGGAAAGACGTAGACAATCATATTTGAAAATAAAGAACAACTGGTGAATGATAGGAGTATATGTTACAAGCATTCTTTAAATTTTTTAAGGCATAGTAATCCTGTGGATTTACCTCAATGCGGTAGTTGAAAAAAATCCTCAATTATTTCTCAGAAAACATAACTATACAGACACACAAATCGAGATAAAATAAAATAAGAGTTACTGATATCAGCAGTAGGATAAAGAGAGAAATAAAATGCTAAGTGACTAGGCATTTTAAATTACAAAAACACATTCCCCTCTGTTCCCAGCTGCGGACCTTGGCATCTAATAGCAAGGAAATAATTCTTAATCTAGCAAAAGTCAGTTTGGCATCCTGCGAATCTAAGAACTACCATGGAAAGCCTGCAATATCAGATTTTTTTCTTGACATTTCTGATAAATTTGTTTTTACTTGTAGCAATGATCCAAGGTTCAATTCTGAGATGACCGAATAGGACCAAACTTTCTGTCAAATTCTGAAAATGGTTGCAAGACTCTGTTCAGTCACTGTGGTTTATTAAGGGCCTGGAAAACAGCACATGTAACATCCAGTTGATAAGAACCCCTTCCTTTCCTGGGAGCTGGCAACACCCTCACGCCTTCCAAAGCAGCTCTTAGCATCATCTCACCCATTCTTAAGACCATGCATTGGTCAGGCGCGGTGGCTCACGCCTGTAATCCCAGCACTTTGGGAGGCTGAGGCGGGCAGATCACGAGGTCAAGAGATCGAGACCGGCCTGGCCAACATGGTGAAACTCCGTCTCTACTAAAAATACAAAAATTAGCTGGGCGTGGTGGCACGCGCCTGTAGTCCCAGCTACTCGGGAGGCTGAGGCAGGAGAATCGCTCGAATCCGGGAGGTGAGGTTGCAGCGAGCCAAGATAGTGCCACTGCACTCCAGCCTGGTGACAGAGAAAGACTTCATCTTAAAAAAAAAAAAAAAAGACCATGCCTCTACAGCTATTTGGCTTGAAGGTATGACCTGTGATTGCTGCAGCCCCACTTCCTACTGTTCCCCAAGAGAATGACTTCAGTTTTTAAAATATTAAGATTATAATCAGGTGTCATGGCACATGCCTGTAATCCCAGCTACTCAGGAGGCAGAGGGAAGATCACTTGAACCCAAGAGTTCAAAACTAGCCTGGGCAATACAGTGAGCTCTCATCTGGGAAGAAAAAAAGAAAGAAAGAAAGAAAATATTAAGATTGAGAGGCAAAATACCATCCAGGGAAAAAGAAATGGTTCTCCTGGGTCTGCTTAGTTACTATTCCTGTCAGGTGCACCTTCCCTGGCAATATTCTCTATTTCTTTACCTGGATCACAAAGAATAGAGCTATCCTTTTACAAACAGAAGTGCATGTAGTTGTCCTTTCACAAGTAGAAGTGAATTACCTAGGTCACTAGTGACGAAAGAGAGTTGATTCCAAGAAACTTTAAAAACAGATCCTCACGTGGCCGGGCGCGGTGGCTCACGCCTGTAATCCCAGCACTTTGGGAGGCCGAGATGGGAGGATCACGAGGTCAGGAGATCGAGACCATCCTGGCTAACACGGTGAAACCCCATCTACACTAAAAATACAAAAAACTAGCCGGGTGCGGTGGCGGGCACCTGTAGTCCCAGCTACACGGGAGGCTGAGCCAGGAGAATGGCGTGAACCCGGGAGGCGGAGCTTGCAGTGGGCCAAGATTGCGCCACTGCACTCCAGCCTGGGCAACAGAGCAAGACTCTGTCTCAAAAAAAAAAAAAAAAAACAAAAAAAACAGATCCTCACTTTTCTTTTTTCGAGATGGAATTTCACTTTGTCGCTCAGGCTGGAGTGCAGCAGCACAATATGGGTTCACTGCAACCTCCTCCCCTTGCATTCAAGCAATTCTCCTGCCTCAGCCTCCCAAGTAGCTGGGATTACAGGCGCCTGCCACCACACTCTGCTAACTTTTTGTATTTTTAGTAGAGATGGGGTTTTGCCACGTTTATCAGGCTGGTCTTGAACTCCTGACCTCAGTTGATTCACCCGCCTCAGCCTCCCAAAGTGTTAGCAATACAGGCGTGAGCCACCGTGCCCAGCCATCCCCACTTTTCATTCTAACTCTCTGCACAGCAAACTGGGTGGTATTATCAAAACGTAAATCCACCCTTAAAATCCACAATTTAGCTTCTAGGATTCTGTTATGCAGAAAAACTGACATGCCCATCTGTCAAACCTGATACCCCCTACGCATTGCCTGCCTAGGCCAAAGTGAATGCCTGGGTTCAAACGCTATTTTTGCCACTGTAACTTTTTAAAAAATCATTACCTCAGCCTTTCTCATCTATAAAAATGGGGATAATGACAATAATTATAGTACTCAG